ACACACCAACCAAACTAAACCCACATCCACACCCACACCCACACCCACACCCACACCCACACACAGCACAGCACAGCACAGCACAGCACAGCACAGCACAGCACAGCACAGCACAGCACTTTGTACCACTTTGCACCACACCACACCAAAGGTCCCTTCCCCACACCACAACACACCACACCACATCATTCTCCTCACCAAGCACACAGAAGACAACGACGGCTGTGAAGATGGAGGTGAGAAAGTCGCAGACCGTCACCACAAGCGTATCCCTGAGGAAGTCACTACGCACAGGGTTGTAGGAGGCCAGGGCTATAAGACAACCGAACGCCAGTCCGAAGGAATAGAAGATTTGTGTGGCCGCATCTAACCACACAGCTGGATCCAGAAGTCTGTGCCACTAATATCGACAAATAAAAACAATACATTGTATGACTGTAGTATGGCCGTAAACGTTTACAAATTCATTGGCACAATTTAGATACTCGTTTTTAGGATTCAGCTTTCTATCAGAAGAACAGAAATACTTGTTAAAATGATTCATTAGGGAATCAAACTACAATAAACTGCAGAAAAGAAAGCAAGAAGCCAAACCGGTACATCACAAACGCCAGTTAAAAAATAACCCAAAAAGTAAAACCAAAGTCATTATGAAAATAAAACTGTAAAGATTTATTCCGTCCTGGCTTATAAAAATCAAACCTAATCAAAGAAACTAAAACCGTTTTTGCGACTTAAGATTTGACTTCTTTATACCATAGATACCACCGTAGAAAGTGATATAGAATGCAATATTGAAGCATACCTAGTAATATTGTCCTGAAAGCAGAGAAACCGTTATAATTAGAAGTATCACTTAATTCTATGACAAAGCATGGTTATAAAGAGGGCCACAAAAGGGTGAACCAGTTAGTAAATAAATGTGAACAATTTTAAAATCAAACAAACAGCTGTGCGCTTCATATGTTCTTTGTATTATTGCACAGCGCATTGAGCAATTTTTTGTGGAAATACGCTATATAAATGAAATGTATTATTTATTATTACTCAATTCATCATACCAAGTGTAGGAACATACCTCAGGAACAAAGAGATGCTCAAGGCCTCTGTCAAATCCTTCTAGCGTGATGCCACGGAAGAAAAACGCCACCAGTACAAGATAAGGGAAGGTTGCTGTCACATACACCACCTTTTGGGGTAAAAAACAACAACAACAACGAAAAAACCCATTACACTTGATGCACTCGTATACAGAACAACATGTGACGCAGCGTGGTGGAATCAGGCTCTCGTCAATTTCTGGGCATGTAGAGTTATTGGTGTTATCTTAAAGCTAATTCGCTTGTCTTTTGTCTTTTTTTGGATGAAAAAAATATCCTTTTATCTTGAATACAAGTCGAGATATTAGAGAATGAAGGAGGTGGGGGTCACCTGTTTTCAGAGGTAAAATTAGCGAGAAAATGGTTGCCAAAGATTAGTTATTTCCTTAGCTTAAGAGTCCGTGGTAACTGAAAATTTACATTTTTGTGCCTTTAATCAACGCTTTTCAGAAAATTCCACCCAGAAATTATTTTTAAATGGCATGAAAGGTGTTGAGCCAAAAAACAAAAAATTGATAAAAATTCACAATATTGCGTAAAAATGCAAGTTTCTTCACTTTGAGTATTTTGACGAGAGCCTGAATCCACCACGCTACCTCTCATAATATATTGATTTGATTGACCAGTCATATAGTCTTCAGTTAGTCTCAACGTACAAAAAAACCTGTTCTTCAATGTTATGGCGCTGCAAAGCTAAAACAAGATGCACAGAAACCACTACAAATATAAAGCAAAAGAAAAGTTCGTGTTCTGTTCGAAATATCCAAATCCTCATGTTTTAACCCGCCCCCCCTTTTTTCCCTTATAGCCCAGTAGCAAAGTTGGTATCATGTTGGGACATGGTACTGACGACTCTGATTCGAATCTCCAATGTGCCTTTCTGGAACTTGGGAGTGGTTGGAAAAGTTTGCAAAAATCTCTGCTACTGTTGTATCGGATATTGATGTAGCATCCGGAGATAAACCATGTTCCAGATCAGTCTGTGGACTAGTTAGGGCATAAGCTAACGTAATATTGACTCTAGAAACAACTCTTAGTGGCATGGTTGTAAGGGAGCTGAGGTGTTGAAGTCGAAATGACCTAATTTAGTATCCAAGAGGGCTGTCTTTCAAACGCACAAAAAAGGGTTGTAAGCATTGTTCTGTCAATAGATAAAAGGTTAATCCTTAAAATAATCTTTCTAAACGTTACCCTTTTCCCAATACCAATTCCTAAAGAAATGATGCCATTAAGTTTGCATAGTTTGTCCTTTGATGAAGGGCAAACGTGTGTCAGAAAAGGGGCCGATGAAAGTTGAATAACACACCAACCCCCGTCCAAAAAAGATAAGAAGAAATAACAAAAAGCAAAACCAAAGTACCACCCCCCCAACACAACAAACACACACACACACACACACACACACACACACACACACACACACACACACACACACACAAACAAACACACACACACACACACACACACACACACACACACTCACAAACGCATAACAACAACAGGACGAAAACACAACATAAACAAACAAACATGCAAAGAGAGAAACAAATCGTAAACCAGTAGCAGCGGCTGACCTTCCCTGTCGTCTGAATGCCCTTAAGGATGCAGAGAAACACGATGACCCAGGCCATGAGGAGTCCTAAGGCGATCTTCCAGTTGAACTCCGGAATGGACTCGATGGTGGGTGCCGTGTTCAGCGTGGAGCGGTACCAGAAGTAGCTGGGCGGACTGCTTTTCTTACAAAGGCATACACACAGTGGTAACCATTAATCATTTAATTATAGAATAAAATACCTTTCTTATAGAATAGACGTTCTGATAATATTCTATAGAGCAAAATACCTTTCTTATAGAATAGACGTACTGATAATATTCTATAGAGCACAATACATTTCTGATAGCTGTAAACACGGGGGCTCTCGTGGCCTAGAGGTTAAGGTGTTCGCCTCTCATTCAAAGGTATCGGGTTCGAATCTTGGAAATGACGGACAATTTTTTTTCTTAAAAAATTGTCTCCTTTACCCCCTTTCCTGCTCTCAAGATATGTTCTGCCGTCTGCTTTCGTCTCCACTTTCTGCCCCCACCCCCTCGCCTCCTTTGTCCCCTCCTCTGGGCTACTGACTCTTTCAACAGCCTGTCTGCTGTTTCTCCTTGGCTCCTTCTTACTGCTGTCTTTCAGCCACACCCCTGATCTTCTCATAGGTAAGATATACACCTAGCCTTCTTGGACAAGGATAAAAACTCTCGGAGTTCAAGTGTGCAGGTTGCACACGTTAAAGATCCCTTGGTGGTCTGAAATTAATGAGAGTAGGCTTTCGCCGCAACTCGGGCAAAATTTTTAATTTCCTACCAATTGTAAATGTTTAATGCACCCATCGAACTCATATGCCCTTAATCAGTTGTGAGCGCCGTAAAACACTTGCCGAAAAAAAGCGTAAGCACAAAGAGATCACTATTGATAATATTCCATAGAGCAAACAATTTTTCCTTTATAAGCAAATGCTCGAAGGTCACCATTAACTTAGAGACCAGAGTATTCTCTCATCCACTTAGAGGTCAGTACACACAGGAAACCATTGAAAATTCATTGATGGAGCGAACTACTTTTCCAACAGAGGCAAGCACATAGATGTAATAGGCTGTACAACCTCACTTAGAAACCTGATTCCTAAAATGGGGAAAATGATTTATAAACAATTCCAAACGCATGGAAAGACAAAATTCAAATTGATAATAAAATCTAAACCTGGTATTCAATTTGGCATTTCTTTCCTGCTTCCATTTTCTGTGCTCTTCCACTTTCGAAGTTACCTGTTCTCTGTACGTTATTTTATAGCAATATTTGAACAGCTGGGTGACGGGAGAAGATCAGAATAAAGTTGGGATTTTTATTTTGACAGTGTCCGAATATAAAAATGAGTACGAAGTTACAATTGCCGGCATATGTTCAGAGCGTCATATTATGTCACTTTTCAAAATGGCGTATGGCCGACTCTTCCAGTAAGCAGTCGGTCTGAAGAAGCAACTACAGAAATGGCAAACACAGAGAGAGAATAAGAAGAGAACAAGGTTTTAAGTGACCAGTTGTTCTGTGTCACTGTTCCTTACCTCACACTCTGGCTCGATGACGTAAGAGTCGTTGTCCCCAAATGTGTGCGGGCACGCGGCCCAGGGCAGGGGACTCTGGAAACTCTGGCGGTAGAAAAACAAAGATAGTAATAATAATAATAATAATAATAATAATAATAATAATAATAATAATAATAATAGTAATACTTATTATTATATTATTAATAGCAATAATGATAAAAGAAATAATAATAGTGATGATGATGATAAATAATAACAACAACAACAACAATAAGAATAATAATAATGATGGTGATAATAATAATAATAACAATAATAATGATAATAATAATAATAATAATAATAATAATAATAATAATAATAATAATAATAATAATAATAATAATAATAACAATAACAATAACGGCAATAGTAGTAGTAATAATGATGATAATAATATTAATGATAATAGTAATAATAATAATAATAATAATAATAATAATAATAATAATAATAATAATAATAATAATAATAATAATAATACTAACACTAATAATAATAATAATAACAAGAAGAAGATTGCATATATATTAAGCTCTACCCATACAAATAAGCTCTGAGTTTTTCTTGAAATTTGCTTTTATTAGGCCTACTCTTAAGGGCGAGCTCATATGCTATAGTCCTAAGTCCTAAGTTCGAATCCCACGGAGCCGTTTTTGAATTTGAATACAGTCAAACTTGCTCCAACGGCCTCAATTCTAAAACAATCACCTGTACCATCGGCCACTGCTCAATACCCCTCCTCCCCACGCCTGTGATCTATATTATTGTAATGGTGTTGTCTAAGATGACCTGTCTAATATGACCACTTTTCTCCTCGACAAAGGATGGACAGGTTCGACCCCGGTTTGGATAGCGTTAAAGGTTTTTCCTAGTCTAGGCCCGCCCGTATCAGAGGTGGACAGAAATGGAATAATTTTAAATTTTCATTAAAAATGTATTCTTTCTTTCTTTCTTTCTTTCTTTCTTTCTTTCTTTCTTTCTTTCTTTCTTTCTTTCTTTCTTTTTTTCTTTCTTTCTTTCTTTCTTTCTTTTTTTTCCGCCCGATACAGAACCTGTTGGTACAATGTATTACTGAATAATAATAATAATAATAATAATAATAATAATAATAATAATAATAATAATAATAATAATAATAAATAGCCTTTATATAGCGCATATCCCCGCTCAACAGCAGGCTCTATGCACTTTACACTATATTATTACCCAGGCAGACCAAAGAACACACCGAAACATTCTCAGCTTCCCGGGAAGCATACAGTGCAAGCAGCTGATTAAGCGCTCAAACACTAACAAACTGACAAGATCTTTCGCTGTCTATAGCCGGGTACCCATCCCCACTGGGTGAATTGAGGAAAATTTGTGCAAAGTGCCTTTCCCAAGGACACAACGTCGGGCCCCTGACTTGATTCGAACCCACGATCTTACGGTTGCGAGTCCGAGAGCCTAACCACTAGGCCACCGACGCCACAATGAATGGACAGTTGTGATGTCAACATGCTTCAACAAAGTAGCATAACCCTGAAAGATGTTTTAGAATATTTGATTCTAGGGAAAGTGAGTGTATATTTACTATCGCTTGCTAACGCATATTTTTCATGTCGGAATTACCCGACGTGGGAATCGAACACAAGTCTGCTGTTGATATGGCAAAACCCAAAACATTCTGGGAAGGATAGGGGGAGAGAGAGAGAGAGAGAGAGAGAGAGAGAGAGAGAGAGAGAGAGAAGGAAGGAAGGAAGAAATACCAATTATCATTTGTTAAATTTGTATTTCACATTGGGGATTAAAGGAATTTCTGATCCTGGAAATAAATGCATAATAGAACCACGAAGCGCGAAACAATGAAAGTAAAATTAAATGAATATTGGCAGAAATTTATCGTGAATGTTAAATTTGTTTTCGGAGATCAATTATTATTTCCAGAGAGCTCTGTTCAGAAAGCGCCTTCCCTCTATCTTTCATCGACATGTCTTGACGCATAACTTCAAGGGTATGGTTTTTTTTTTTATCCCCTCCCCTCCCCACCCCCCTTCCTCTGCCTCCGTCTACTTTGTTTTAAATTCCCAATGCATACATTTAGTTCAGACTTACGCATTGATTATAACCCCAAATTTTGTTTTATTAGCTATGTGCCTTGTTTGATAGGCCATTGTTGCAGTTACACAAAAGCTATTGATGTATTACAGCCAGTTACAATATTTGGCTGTTTTGCTTGGAGCCAGGGCCCGAACCTACATTATGCATTCCTTTTAAAGAATTTCCTGGAAAAAAAGAAAATCCCGAATTCCCCGATTTCCACCTTTTTCAACACATTTACGAAAAATGACAAAACTTGTTGAACTGAACGTTTCCTTATGAAGTTGACGGTCGAAAAAAAATGTATAGAGCTGGTGTTAAACACACACATGCTCAGACACACACACACACACAAACACACGCACATGCACACACACACATGCACACACACACACACACACACACACACACACACACACACACACG